TATGTGTTTAATAAGAAATTTTCAAAATGCACAGAAGAGAAATATTTCACTGCCTTCTGCCACTCCCCCCCCCCCCCCCCCCCACACACACTGGAAACAAACTAAAAATGAGTCCCCACAGGGACACAAAATGGACCATGGACTTTTAAAACCCTCAGGGGGAACATACTATGTATATAGATTTCTGCAATTTTTTTCCCTTAATTTTTTTTTTGTTAAACCTCACCCAATAATATTTTTTCCATTGATTTTTAGAGGAAGGGAAGGGGAGAGACAGAGAATCATCAATGTGAGAGATAAATCCATTGATGGGAGCCAGGGAACCTGCAACCAAGGACATGCCCCTGATAAGAATTGAACCCTCAACCCTTCAGTCTGAGGGATCAACACTATAACCACTGAGCCAAATCAGTTAGGGCTCACTTAATGTCTAAGATCTTCCCCATGGAGTTATTTCAATTTTATGAATATAAAAATATAGAATCTTGCCCTAACCGGTTTAGCTCAGTGGCTAGAGCGTCAGCCTGGGGACTGAAGGGTCCCAGGTTCAATTCCGGTCAAGGGCATGTACGTTGGTTGCGGGCACATCCCCAGTAGGAGGTGTGCAGGAGGCAGCTGATTGATGTTTCTCTCATCGATGTTTCTAACTATTTCCTCTCCCTTCCTCTCTGTAAAAAATCAATAAAGTATATTTTAAATATATATATATATAGAATCTTTAAATGGTTTCATTGTATCAACACAGTAACAATTTAGCCAATTTCCTTTTTTGTTGTTAATCCTCACCCAAGGATATTTTTTTCCATTGCTTTTCAGAGAGTGGAGGGAGGGAGGGAGGGAGAGGGAGAGAGAGAAAAACTGATGTGAGGGAGAGACATCGATTGGTTATCTCCCACACATGTTCTTACTGGGGGTGGGGAGTGAACCCCCAACTGAGGTATGTACTCTTGACCAGGAATCAAACCCGAGACCCTTTTGTGTGCAGGCCGAAGCTCCCAACCATTGCACACACTGGCCAAGGTGCCAATGTTCATCAATATTTACTGTTTTTTAAAAAGCCTCTCAAATACTAGCCTCACTTGTAGGTAAGATTTTTTTTCTTTCTACATGGGGAAGAACCCAGTTCTGTGTTTCTCTCCAGTGTGTCTCCTTTACTACACATGAAACACTTTACTTAAGGTCACCAAATATGGAGGGTTTTTTTTCCCCACCAAGCAATTCTTTGCAACACCAGCTGCAAAGAATTTAATTCTGACACTATCTACCTGGACATAGACTTACTCCCACAAAACTGTTCCCCACCCTGCTTCAGTTGCCCCTTGCAAGTAATAGGTCCCCAAGTTACCCACAACTGCTGTTCATCTTGGCTACAAATAAAAGGTTTCCATAACCCCCTCCTCAGTTTGGATCAATTTGCTCGAGCAGCTCAGAACTCAGGGAAACACGCCAGCAGTTCATTAAAGGATATGATAAAGGACAAAGATGATCAGCCAGATGAAGAGATGCATAGGGTGAGGTCTGGGCGGGTCCCAAGCACAGATTTAGTCCCCATTGAGTTAGGGTGCCAGCCTGCAAGTTCTCCAAACCTCCTATGATTGGGATTTTATGGAATCTTCCTCATGTGGGTAAGTGACTCATTTCCAGCCCTTCTTCCCCCTCTGGAGTAGGAGGGATAGGTCTGGAAGTTCCAAGCTTTTTCTAGTCTTTCTGATGACCAGTCCCCATCCAGGAGCCCACTCAGTCACCTCATTGGAACAAAATAAGCTTCTAGTGCTCTTACTTAGAAAATTACAAGGGTTTTAGGAGCTGTGCCAGGAACTGGGGTCAGGGACCAATACATATATTTTCTATTATCTCACACACGAGAAGCCTGGTGCATGAAATTCGTGCACAGGGTGTGTGTGTGTGTGTGTGTGTGTGTGTGTGTGTGTGTCCCTCAGCCCAGCCTGCACCCTCTCCAATCTGGGACCCCTCTCACAATCCAGGACTGCTGGCTCCCAACCACTCACCTGCCTACTTGATTGCCCCTAACCGCTTCTGCCTGCCGGCCTGATCACCCCCTAACCACCCCTGCCAGCCTGATCAACGCCTAACTGCTCCCCTGCCAGCCTGGTCGCCCCCAACTGCCCTCCCCTGCAGGCCTGATCACCCCCAACTGCCCTCCCCTGCTGGCCATCTTGTGTCCACATGGGGGCGGCCATCTTGTGTGTTGGAGTGATGGTCATTTTGCATATTACCTCTTTATTATATAGGATTATACACATCTCTATATGAATTTTTAAAAGTGGGGTTGTCAGTAGAGAGATTATGTGGTGAAACTTGGACACATATTGTCATATTACTTCTTTTTTTTCACAGTTAAGCCATTTTATACTCCCCACCAGAAATAATTCTTTGCTCATATCCTCGGCAACACTGGTGATTGCCTATCTTAGGCAAAATAATGAAGCTGAGCATCTTTATCCATGCTGTAACCAATCAATCCTATTTTTTTATTTTTATTAATCCTCACCCGAGGATATTTTTTCCATTGATGTTTAAAGAGTGTGGAGGGGATGGATGGAGGGGAGAGAGAAAAACATCGACATGAGAAAGAATATCAATTTGTTGTCTCCTGCACAGACCCCAACCCAGGCTGGGATGAAACCTGCAATCCAGGTATACTAGTATGCCCTTGACCAGGAATTGAACCCAAACCCTTCGATACGTGGGCCAATGCTCTAACCACTGAGCAACCCACCAGGGCCTCACATCTGTTTTTATGATCACCAGCAGTATGTTTGCCTAGGAATACCTTTCCTATCCCATTATAAAAGTCTTTACCCATCTTTTCCTGTAGTACCTTCCCGCTTTCATTTTCTGATAAAGTCCATGAGCCATCTGGAATGTGTTGCCAGAGGCAAACAGAAGCATCTTTACCTTTCCCCAAATGTATAGCACACTGATCCAGCATCATGTCAAATAATTTTTCCCCCCACTGATCTATAGACCATTTAAGGGACCATTTTTCTTTTTTTACAAGTAATATATGCACATGGTATGAAAATGAAATAGCATAAAGGGGCACACAGTGAACTGTAATCTATTACCCCTCATTTTCCTCTGGAGGCAATCCAATTAATAGTTCAGTGTCTCCTTTCAGATATTTTGCATATGCAAACAGAACTGTAACAAATATCCTTATAATTATTGTTCATAATGCATAAGTAAATCAATAAAACTCCTAAAAGTAGAACCTGATAGGTCAAAGAATATGGGCATTTGAAAACCTGATATTATCAAGTTGTTCTCCAAAGATATTGCACCATAAATTTATACTTCCACTAAAATATGTGATAGTTCAGTATTTTTCAAGATTGAGATAATTTTATTGGCTCTGGTGTCCTCTGCAACGTAGGCAGCACAACAGTTAACAAATCTAATGGACATTAAATTAACCACTTCAATTATTTTCTGAACGTCAGTGTTCATTTTGTGGGTAATAAGTTACAAAGAAAAAGTCCTCAAGAATTTATAATCTAGGCAGCTCTTTGACCCACCTGCTCCAAATTTCTCTTTGAGTGTACTTTCTCTTTGCTTGCTCAAATAAATTTTCTCTAGTGAAAAAAAAATTTATAATCTAGTGAGTTGGGTTGCAAGTATTTAAAACCAATATATGGCTAAATGAAATTAGTACTAGATAGGCAGCCAGAAATGTTAGTCTGTGTGGAGGCCATGGAGAGTTATGGAAGAATGCTGCTGGAGTTCGAAAGCCTGGATAAAAAGAATTACATTGCGTGGGGAAAGGTGGGAAAGAGCCATTCTTGGTGGAAAAACAAGATGCCCTGAATTAAGGAGTAAAACCTCTGTACCAGACGGAAGGCACTGAAGCATTAAAGACCATGACAGTAATATAGGGTTGTTAACCGCACCTACAAAAAGCTGTTACACAGAAGGAACATGTTAGTTCTCATCCCTCTAGTCTGGGGGCAAGTAAAACAAGTACAAGAGGCCAACATCACTCAATTTTCCCAGAGTGGTTCCAAAAAGCTAGCTTATGAGAAAGGAGAAAAGTAAGGCCAAAGTGATATCATTAGTTCTATTCTTTAAAGAGTCAAAATTTGGCCATCTAGTTGTTAATCCTTCCTACTCCAAACAGGGCTGAATTAGCATACCTCTTCCCAAAGGTTGCTTCATATCTACTGGCCTTGTTAGGGGCAGAAATAGAATATTAGGGACTAGCTACAATTATAAAAAAATATTAATAATGCTCTGTTAACTGTGATGGTTCTGTTCTAATTAGAGAAAGTGCATTCTAACCTGGCTGAGACTTATATGCCTGGGGACATGGGAGCTAACATCAGAATGCAGTCCATCCTCCTTTCCCGAGAACTGCCTATCATTATGGAAAGATTTACAACCTCGTGGCTGAAACAATCTAGTCCTGGAGGCACCTGCCCTTCGCAATCCCCAGCCCCTATTGCCTGTAATCTTAGAGGTGCCCAAAGGCACCCACCCCCTGCAACCCCCACACAGCCCACATTACCAGTAACCTGTAATGATTATACTGTGCCTACTTTCCTATGCCTATAATTCTTACTTTCTCACATAATCTTTGTCCTTCTACCCAATATAAGCAGCTGGCTTATGGGGAGAAGGCAGAGCAGATTTTTGTGGATGACCTGTTCTCCCATATTGCCAGCATTAACGGAATAAATATTCATATATGATTCTGATGGGGAAAATGAGACATTTTAGGGGGGCTAGCAATCTGAATCTGTGCCAGTAACCTAATGCACATTCTTGTTAGCCTATAGTCTAGTCCAGTGATGGCGAACCTATGACACGCGTGTCAGAGGTGACACGTGAACTCATTTTTTTGGTTGATTTTTCTTTGTTAAACGGCATTTAAATATATAAAATAAATATCAAAAATATGTCTTTGTTTTACTATGGTTGCAAATATCAAAAAATTTCTATATGTGACACGGCACCAGAGTTAAGCTAGGGTTTTTCAAAATGCTGACACGCCGAGCTCAAAAGGTTCGCCATCACTGGTCTAGTCACTGCCCCTTCTTTAATTATCTGGTCCTGCAAGACCTGTTTACCTAAAGTACTATTCCCATTTTAGAGGCCATAAACCATGAACAATACACAACCCCCAGATGAAGTTATCAGTGCTAGCGCCAGGCCAGGCCTTGAGATGTGGTCTCACTGCCCCCATCCCAGCACATGGGGCTTTTTGCAAAGCCTGCGAAAGGTCCAGAAGTATGATCCATATTTGGGGGACAAAGAAACCAAAGGGTATAAAGGGAAAGCTTCCTCCATATTGGTTTGCTCAGGATTTGGAGAGAAACAGCCTACCCGGAGTCCTGTACTAGTACATGAGAAACATCTGAAAATAAATGGGTTTTTCCTGTGCCTCTCGTACTCCTGCGTATTTTTCGGTCGCCTGGTAAATTCTATAACAATTCAACCCTATCTCTGCTTAATTGGCTCAAGTAGTGACCAGACCCCTTGGTTGTCCGATTACAGCTTCTGCCAGTTCCTGGGAATCAGCTCTGTCTCAGATCCTTCTTGCTTCATTCAGCAGCCTCAACTTATTAACCTGTCCCGTTGGAGGGGAATTGGAACACATATGCCACAGAAAAATTCTACATAAAATAAAATTTATTATTCAGCATTTTGAAAACCACAATTCAACAACTTCTAGTGTTTCGCAAGTACTTATGATCCAAAAGTTACTTCTGAATTGAAAATTATGTTCAGTAAAAACTAAGTTAAAATCTTTTTGAATAAAGCAATCTATACCTCTGGCTTAGGTAAACTATAATATTGTTACATTCAAATATTAAATGTCTTAGATGTAGTTACTCCAAATTATTAGCCAAATTTCTTTCTCTAACTAAACAATATTTGACCAGATTTATGACCAAAATAATAGTTATTCTTTCATTTGGCAAATACCACTTTATAACAACAACAAACTGTTCAAACACAGAACTTTATTTTTATATAAAAAAGTAAGTTATGATTTTTGAAAAAAGTTTAAAATGTTCAGCCTTCATGTTAATGTAGTTAGGCTATTCAAAAGACAAAGCAAAAAATTAACATTAAGTCATGGTCCAGGGTTATATTTATGAAAAACAAATACAAGACTTATGGGAGGGACTCGGTAAGTAAAGACAACCAAAATAAACTGTATTTCAAATCTGTTTAAATAAAAACATTAAAGATCACTTTAAAATAGTGTCCATCTTTTCTTTTAAATGGGCATGCACTCATCTGCAATCATGTACAAATACAATAAACTTGACTAATAGCTTTCTCAAGCTTTTAATATAAATACAAATCCTTGCTTCCTTATGTAAACCAACAAAATAATACAAAGTGAACTTGTTAGAAAAATATGGACCTTTCTGAATCTATATTGCATTTTAAATTTAAATTGTAAAACATAGTTCTAATTATATGAAACCCCTGTTGACTTATTATTACCGGTATCTTACATATTACATCTGGTCTTTATTTTGGCTGAAATGCAAAAATATACTTAATTTCGTAGTAATAGATTAAAAGTATTTTCCATTGATAACAATGCTATTCCTAGAACAAAACATAAGCTATGCAAATCCCTTAATATACACCAAGCCCTTAATATACATTTATTGCTTTAAAGTTTACTGAATGGAAATCTGACATGTCTGATAATCTTGAATTTAAACACTCTGTAAACAAAGTAAAAATCTGTATTCTATTGGAAATAAAATTCAAATAAAAATTGCCTATCTGATTTAAACTAATCTTAGTCAAATTAACTTATGACACATTGAATCAGAACCATTAAATATGTAAAAATATTTAAAAAATCAGCCATATGTAAAGATGAAACTAAACTCTGTAAACGTGTCCCTGATTAATAACTACTCTGCTGCAGCTACTCTTTGGTTTGGCAAAGTGATACTGGTCAGATACCTCAGGGACTGAATGTAAGTTTGTACCAGGTAAAATCAAGTCTCCTGTCTACTTTTTTTTTTTAATGGCAATGGCAATACCTGAAATTCAACTTAATATCCTTAAATGTCATCACATTTGTTCAAGTGTTTGAAGGACCAAAGACAGTACTAATAAATTTTCACAGGGCTTCATTTTGACCTTTCTCCCCAAAGAGTGACAGCACTAACCAATACCAGTTGAAATACCAAAGAGGCAGCTGGTCCCTGATTCCCACACTACACCAGTAGGCCCTTACTGAAGAGTAGTGAATGTGTATGAATAAACTCAGCCAAATATTATTCAGAATGTGGTAAAATGTTGGCCATTAATTAAACCAAAGGTAATTAAAAGGCTTTCATTGAAAATTTCTGAAAAGGTATTTACTACACTATTAAAGATGATATTGAATAACAGAACTTAAAAGATTACACCACCACAAAAGTGCCTGAATACACTAAGGGGGTAAATTGTTTCCTCACTTGTTAATCAGATGCATACAATCCTGATCTAGATGTAGAAATACTCATGAACAGTGCCAGATCATTTCTGAAAGTATTAAGTTTAAAACATTGACTATTTCTTTATCATATGGAAACTGCCAAAATAATGATTTTGGTTGGTAACTGGTATCACTCATTTAACTCTCATACTTAAAAGTTTTTTAGAATAAAGATTATCAAGACTACAGAGGTGAAAAAAGGTGGAAGAATCCATATTATATTTTTAAAGCTACCATATTCCTTCAGTTCAAAGTGGAAACTTCCTTTTAAAACCCAATATTACTATTTAGTCAATGGAATTAGGCAAATCCTATCAATTGTAAACCTGGAATAGTTTATTATAAAACTTATGTGGAAAAAAAATAAAATGTATATGACATTAGAAAAGTATAGAGCTATCCCTAGTATACTGTTTGATGTATAGAAGGTACTCCAGAAGTATTTGTTGGATGAATGAAAAGTAAGGTGATTTTGCAAAATCAGAAATCAAAGAATGTTAGAGGTCATCCAGTCCAAGTCATTCGTATCACCTTGTCCTCTCAATCCTATGTTACAGATAAGAAAACTATAATCCTAGATAATTATAGATTCTGGTTAACATTTAGCTCTGCTGGCGTGGCTCAGTGATGGAGCGTCAACCTATGAACTAGGAGGTCACAGTTTGATTCTCGGTCAGGGCACATGCCCGGGTTGTGGGCTCCATCCCCAGTGTGGGGTGCAGGAGGCAGCCAATCAATAATTCTCTCTCATCACTGATGTTTCTATCTCTTTCCCCCTCTAAAATCAATAAAAATATATTTTAAAAAAACATTTATCTCTATCCACTACTGGAAGCAATCAATTATTTTGGTTTGTGTGTGTATATTTGACTGACTAGTATAAATAAGGATTGACATTTTTACATTGTTTCTCCTTTGTAAGATATTGAATTTTTATTTATAATTAACTGGAGGCGGAGGGGTCCCTCAACGTGGCCTGTGCCCGCTGGCAATACGGGACCCCTCGGGGATGTCGGACTGCTGGTTTTGGGCCGAACCCGGCAGTCTGACATCCCCTGAGGGATGAAGTAGTGCGCAAAGCGGCCGGGGAGGAGCCCCACCTGGGCCAGGGACCACGCTGCTCCCACTCATCCTGGCCCCACTGCACCTGCCGTGAGCCTGGCGTCTGATGCCTGTCAGTCAGGTGAGCGGCACTCCCGCTGTGAGAGCACACTGACCACCAGGGGGCAGCTCCTGCATTGAGTGTCTGCCCCCTGGTGGTCAGTGTGAGTCGTAGCGACTGGTCACTTAGGGTTTTATATATATTGCATAGATGCAACATTTCTTGTCCCTTAGACTGGATTTCAAAAGGAAAAGAGGGTATGTGTCTAGGTAGAAAGATGTTGCTGTTCAGTCAGATTTAGTATTTTGAATTTATGAGTGGAATCCATCTTTCAGAGACTGGAAGTTTTAAATGACTACTCAGGTTGCCTGACTGGTGTGGCTCAGTGGTTGAGTGTCAACCTATGAATCAGGAGGTCACGGTTTGATTCCTGGTCAGGGCCTGGGTTGTGGGGCCTGCCTTTGTCCAATATTTCTGAGTGCCTTTGTGTTCTCCTGTATGTATACTAATAAAAATTTTTTTAAAGTAATTATAAATCAGAGAGAAACAAAAATCTTTTTTATACTGCCAAGTTTCCTTTAAGCCTTGGGCACAACACTATACAACATTGTTGTATTAATGCTTAGAACTAAACCTTCAATGAATTATACAAATGTGCTCCATGTTGTAAATCATTATATTTAGATATCTTAATCCTTCTGAGTGTTACTGTATAGCCAACAATAAAAAATCTTTATTAAAAATGTTGAAAAGTATAAAACAGTATTTATAAATGATCAAACACCCAATTTTTAGAAAGCAGTCATTTCCTTTTCCCTACATAGTACAAGCAACAGTAATTTGGATATTATTATTCAGTTTCAGCCACCATACTGTCCTAGATGTTCTTTACTTAAGAGAATTTGTTAGCTTCTGTTTCTGGAGTGAAAATTCATATAGACACCAAGAAACAACTCTGATAATGTAACTCAGGTATCAAAAAAAAAATACATATGCCATGTTAACATGTGATCCGACATATTATAGCATTTCATAACAATAAGTGTTATTTGCAAAGTAAAATCAAGTCACTTTTGCAGCTTTAAGTCAATGCTGGACTTAAGATTAAGGCATCTTCCTGCTCTGCAGTAGCGCTTCTGTGGATCCAGGAATCTGTACAAAGGCTTCCTTTTTTGAAAAAATATATCTTCTGTTATACTTCAATTATTTCATCCCATTGATAATTTTCTTGCAAATAATACTGAAAGTATCAGTCCATGTTTTTATAAACCTATAAAACCAGAAACAATTGAGTTATTGGTTAAAACTTGATTTTATATTTCTGAAAACAAGATTTATTAAATGGTTCTGTGGGCTAAGATATAAAGCTACTAATATAACAAGATAAGAAATAAATATTTTAATATTACTAAACTGTAATAATAATGATTTTTGTAAGCAGTAAATAAGGGATATCACTGACTTTCTTCCTCTGAAGCATCAAGAAAGCATTTTAAAAGAGAAAGGTTCTCAGGGTTTTCCCTTACTGTTAACTTGGACATAATCTGAAGAGTCATCTTATCCACACCTTTCTAAGGCTGTTGAAAGGATGTAGGGAAGACTCACAGCAACAGTTCTAGGAACTTTAGCTGGGGATTCTCAACCATCACAGGCAGCAGCCACTATTCTGCCTATATTAAGAAGAAATAAAGCCAGGACTGAGGCCCAACTGCTGTACCACAGTTCTCAGTGGCACTGACAGGTGCTCCTGCTGTTCATCTTCCGAGTCCAGCCTGCTCCACCTGACATGAGCCTGGCCAGAGTGCCTGTGTTCTGATTCTGCCTGGGTCTCAAGCTCTAGGTCCTTGGTACAGAACTGAATGCTCACGACAAATGCCTGCAAGGAAGCAAAGGCTTCCTTAAGACTGCAGATGACAACCCTTTAAAAAAAAATGAGCTCATGACAACAGGAACTATGGTAATGAATGTGTGTTGTCTGAAGCTGCTAGGTTTGTGGGCATTCATTATAGGCAGTAGGTAACTAAAACACTTTAAGTTTGTTAAAAATTGAACACCTTCACAAGATGCTACCTAGCACGGAGCTCAGCTATTGAATGATTGCAGACAGCTGCATCCTTAACTTTAGCATCAGGAGAGACTTCACTACATCCCTGCAGTTCAACTTAAGGTTAGCAATTATCCTCACTGCTCAGACTGCAGATCCACCTGGACTGTCTTCTGTGGCTCCTGTCTCTGGACACACAGTAAAGAATAGCTTATCCATGTACTTGCCTATAGAGTAAGCTGCTCTTTTACAAAATAAATAACATTTTTTCAGACTTTAGTGTTAGTCACTCTTCTCTGGATCAAATTTCTTCAATAGTAGGCAAGTCACATTTTTTGTCTATTGTCACTGTAACGAGGTTATTTATCCCTATAAGCACATAATTATATATGATCCGATAAAAAAATGAATTGAGTTGCTGGCTAAACAGCAAAATTGATGATTAAAGTAAAAGCAACTCTTATATAAGCACTAAATAGGTATATGGTGCCAACCATTTGTCTTCTTGTAGAACCCAGAAGCAGTGCTAAGAGCTGAAAGTCTAGTTTTATGCTTTTTAAATTATTTATTTATTTTTAAATATGTTTTTATTGACTTCAGAAAGGAAGGGAGAGAGAGAGAGAGAGAAACATCAATGATCAGAGAGAATCATTGATCAGCTGCCCCCTGCACACCCCCTACTGGGGATCGAGCTTGCAACCCGGTCATGTGACCCTGACAGGAATCGAACCTGGGACCTTTCGGTCTGCAGGCCAACACTCTATCCACTGAGCCAAACCGGCTAGGGCCCACAGCTTCTTTATTTTGTTTTGTTTCCATTGTCATGAAATATCTTTTTTCATACCTTTACTTTCAGACTGTGTGTGCCTTATGATCTGAAGTGAGTCTCTTGCAGACAGCATAAGTAAGGGTCTTATTTTATTATCCATTTCAGGTACCGAATATCTTTTGATTGGAGCATTTAACCCGTTGTATTTTTAAAATACATTTATTTATTGATTTTAGAGAGGAAGTGAGAGAAATAGAAACATCAAAGATCAGAGAGAGAATCATTGATCTGCTGCCTCCTGCCCCCCGCTCCCCACCCCTTATCAGGTATTGAGCCTACAAACTGGGCATGTGCCTTGACTGAGAATTGAACCATGACCTTCTGGTTCATAGGTCAATGTTCAACCACTGAGCCACTCGGGCTGGGCTATTCCATTTGCATTTTTTAAAAAATATATTTTTATTGATTTCAGAGAGGAAGGGAGAGAGAGAGATAGAAACATCAGTGATGAGAGAGAATCATTGATTGGCTACCTCCTGCACACCCCCTCCTGGGGATCAAGCCCACAACCCGGGCATGTGCCCTTGACCAGAATTGAACCCAGGACCCTTGAGCCCACAGGCCAACACTCTAGCCACTGAACCAAACTGGCTAGGGCCCATTTGCATTTTAAAGTAATTGTTGACAGATATGCATTTACTGCCATTTTATTATTCATATTTTTGATGTTTTGTGGGTTTTTTTTCCTTCTTCTTCTTAAAGAAGACCCTTTAATGTTTCTTGTAATACTGCTTTGGTGGTAATGAACTCCTTTAGATTGTTCTTGTCTGAGAAGTTCTTTATCTGTTCTATTCTAAATGACAGCTTTGCTGGGTCGAGTAATCTTGGTTGTAGGTCCTTGCTTTTCATCACTTTGAATATTTTGTGCCAATCTCTTCTGGCCTGCAAAGTTTCTGTTGAGAAATCAGATGACAGTAATAAGGGAGTTCCCTTGTAGATAACTAACAGCTTGTCTCTTTCTGCTTTTAGAATTCTTTGTCTTTAATCTTTGGCATTTTAATTATAATGTCTTTGTGTGGGCCTCTTTGGGTTTATCTTGTTTGGGACTCTTTGCGCTTCCTGGACTTGTATGTCTATTTCCTTCACCAGGTTAGGAAAGTTTTCCATCATTATTTTTTCAAACAAATTTTTAATTCCTTGCTCTCTCTTCTCCTTCTGGCACCACCATGATGAACTGTTGGTATGCTTGAAGTTGTCCCAGAGGGTCCTTACACTATCTTCTTTTGGGGTTCTTCTTCCTTTTTGCAATTCTAAATGCATATTTTCTGCTTCCTTATCTTCCAAATTGCTGATTTGATCCTCTGCTTCATCTACTCTACTGTTGATTCCCTGTAATCTTTTTCTTCACTTCAATTATTGTATTCTTCATTTCTTACTGGTTCTTTTTTTATAATTTCCATGTCCCTTTTCATGCTACTGAAGTTCTTGCTAAGTTCCTTGAGCACACTTATAATCATTGTTTTGAACTCTATCTGGTAGACTGCCTTCATTTCATTTAGTTCTTTTTCTGGAGATTTGTCCTGTTCTTTCATTTGGGACATGTCTCCTCATTTTGGCTGCTGCCCGGTGTTTCTTTCTATGTTTTTGGTAGAGCTGCTATATCTCTGGACTTGGTAGAGTGGCCTCATGTAGTAGGTGTCCTACAGGGCCCAGTGGAGCAGCCTCCCGTCACTTGATCTGGGCACTCCAAGTGCACTCTGTGCACTGTCCTGTTGTAATTGAGTCTTGATTGTTTTTGGCAAATCACTGGTAGGGACTGACCCCCAGGCCGATCAGCTGCAAAGACCAGCTGAGAGGACAGGCTTTCACTACAGTGGAGAAGCTGCTGTGCAGGGGCCGATCCTGTAGAGCAGGACTTGCTTTAGTGGGGCTTTGGTGCCTGTGACCTCTACCCCTTGAGTGTGTCGCTTGTAGAGTTGGTTGGGTTGAAATCCGGGGTGGTCTGGTGCTGTCCACTGAGTGCACTAGTTCTGGGGCCTCCCAAGAGGTGCAAGGTCAGCCACCGCCTGTGCCCTGCTAAGGGCCACCCAGCATGAGCTACAGAACAATCTGTAGTTGACTGCTAGTTGTGCTTACTTGGAGGTGTCTAGAGGAGAGGCCAAACTGCAAACCAAGGCTAGCTGCTACTAGTATCAGGCCTGGAGCTACTTAACAAGGAGTATGAGGTAAACAGAGGCCAGATGCTGCTCGTTTGAGAGATTTTAGAAATGTCCAAAGCATAAGCCAGAATATGGAAAAGCCACTGGAAAGGGCTTGGGTGGGCCTGCAAATGGGAAGGTGGAGTCGGGGGTCTCAGCAAATCACCAGGGTGAGGCCAACAGTGTTAGCTAGTGTTGATGGGATTCAGATATGGTGTCCACCTGGGGATTTTGAGGGGGGAGGGCTCAGAAAAGGAACAATGACCTCTGCTGGCACTTCTATCTGGGAGAAAGTTGCACCTCCAAAACTTACCCTGCAGTCAGACAATTCAGTCCCTCCCTGTATGTCCCCATATGGCATCTTTCGAGTTGCTGCTCCAGCACTGGGGCTCAGAGAAAGTGAGTCTGACTAAGTCCTTTAAGAGGAACACCTGGACACCAGGAAGCCTCACTAAGCCACAATTCCCACTGGTTTTAACAGATAGAGAAGTTATGGGGACTGCTCCTCCTGGCACTGGGACTCCGGGCTGGGGGTTCTGATGTGGGACTGGGACCATCACTCCTTAGGGGGGACCTCTGCAGCTGAGATATCTCTTCCAACTTTTAACCGCCATCCTTGAGTATGGGACCAACCGACCAGCCCATTCCCCAACCCCACCTTTCCTACCAGTCTTGATGTGGCTTCTTCTAATATATCCCTAGTTGCAGGACTTCTGTTCAGCTAGATTTCAGGCGCTCTGAATGATGGTTGTTTTGTATTTTAATTGTAATTTTGATGTGGTTGTGAGAGATTCTGAGTACCGCATTTACCTATGCTGCCATCTTGACCAAAACTCACCTTTTGTTTAAGATTTATTCAGAATTATGCCAAATGAACTTTCTATGCCTGAGTTAAAGAAATACATGGCTGGGTAACAAAAAACCAACAACAACCTCTCTGTGAACAGAACAAGACACAGCAGCAGCCACTACACTTCCTCACTGAACCCCCTTCTCCATAAAATCTGCCAATAAACACTAACACCCCGTGTGTGTGTGTGTGTGTGAGATGTTTTATTTAGAAGTTTCACATATTTTAGTATTTTACGATTTTTATACAGTAATTCAACCTGGTGAATTTATTTTAACCATATGAAGTGATGTTTTCAGATGACAAGTATTACCTGATCTGACAGTACCTTCTTCAGATCCATTCTCTGTCCATTGAGATTCACTATCCAGCAATCGGTTTTTTGATTCACTAAGTGGTTTGATAGGAAAGGGTTGATTTGAGCCAATACTGAAAAGAAGAGCAAACAATTTAGTAAATAGTTTGATGCTCAATTAAGAACACTAAATTAGCCTGGCTAGTGTGACTGAGTGGCTGCGCATCGACCTATGAACCAGGAGGTCACAGTTCAATTCCTGGTCAGAGCATGTGCCCAAGTAGAGGACTCGGTCTCCGGTGGGGGGCGAGGGGGCATACAAGAGGCAGCTGATCAATGATTCTTTCTCATCATTGACATTTCTATCTCTCTCCCCCTCTTCCTTCCTCTCTGAAATCAATAAAAATTAAAAAAAATATTAATAAGCAGAAAATTAGTATTCCTTCTCCTAAACATGAGGCCAAATCATATGATCTCAGCACTCTGAAAAAAACAACTCAATCTTCAAAAGAAAAATATGCCCACCCCCTCATTAAATGATTCTCTAGATCAGCCGTGGGCAAACTACGGCCCGCGGCCCGTTTGAAATGAATAAAACTAAAAAAAAAAAAAAGACCGTACCCTTTTATGTAATGATGTTTACTTTGAATTTATATTAGTTCACACAAACACTCCATCCATGCTTTTGTTCCGGCCCTCCGGTCCAGTTTAAGAACCCATTGTGGCCCTGGAGTCAAAAAGTTTGCCCACCCCTGCTCTAGATCCAAGAATCTGTACTCCAACTGCCAATGAAAACAATTAGGCAAAAGAAAAAAGCTTCAGAGGCCAGCCTGAAACATTTTTAACATATGTTAATCAAGAGCCATAAGGTAGCATTAGGATAGGTCTGTGTGGCCAGGACAAAAAAATTACCTGTCATCTTTCAAGTTTTCTGCTTTCTATCTCTGCAGTTTAGATCTAAGGGGGAAAAAATGATTAAGTGATTTAGTGTAGACTTATTTTTCTAGCTAACAGATTAGGAAGAGAGGGAACGGAGAATGAAAGAAGAAGGAAAAGGGAACTAATATGTTGTATACCTACTATGGGCCAGATATCTGTGCTAGGTGCTGTATATACATTATTTCAACCTTTGCAAAAACTGGAGGTAGGTATATAGCTGGAAACTGAGGCTCTGACAGTTTAAGTGATTTGTTTAGACCCATAATAAATGTTGGAGGTCTAAGGTCTTAGCTAAGGCCTAAAGTTCTAAGGCCTACATGCTTTTGATATTATATGCAAACTTGTAATTAATAATCTCTTCTCCCCCACAATTAATTTCTGTAGTAAGTTCCAACTATTTCGCTTTGACAGAGTATCCCTCTCTCTCTTTTTAAAATTGATTTTGGAAAGAGAAGGAGGAATATCGATTTGTTCCACTTATTTATGCATTCATTGGTTGCTTTTTGTATGTGCCCAGACCAGAGATCAAACCCACAACCTTGGCTATCATGATGACGCTCTAAACTGAGCTACCTGGTCAGTACCAGAAGTATCTTTATCTTCTTTGAAATTTCATTTCAAATGAATTACTCTGAATATATGGATCAGTTTGCTTACCATACAAATACTGAGAAAATATCCTATAAATGAATGAATGAAATTTTATATTTGTATTTTTTGAATTCTCAATCTCATTTTCACACTACAGTTAAAATCTGTTTATAAAAATAAAATGGTGAATAGAGAAATGACTAATTTCTTTGAAGAAAAAAACTTACATACACCAATTTAATCAAATCTCAAAAGAATGTATAAGTTTCTAGGAAAATGCAGCACATTTAGGGGCAGCCTTGCTTCCTAGTTTGCCCAGACATTTCGTTTTATGTGATTATTCTGGTTCAACTAGTAAGAGCAAGCATTCCCTTTCTTACTTTGAAAAGTATTCTGGTTTGGATGATAAAAAATATGGTTATCCTAAGCATATATATTATATAACAATATAATATATGAGGAGATATATATTATTAACCCTAAGTTAAAATTTAGCCCTGGTCAGTGTGGCTCAGTTGGTTGTGGTGTCATCCCATACATCGAATGGTCATGGGTTTGATTCCCAGTCAGGGCCCATACTCAGGTTTTGGGTTCGATCCCCTGTTGGGGTGTGCACACCAGGCAACCAATCGATGTTTCTCTTTCACACAGTTTTTCTCTCTCACTTTCCTTTCTTCTCTCTCTAAAATCAATAATAAGTTCAGGATTAAAAAAATATTTAAAAATATATTAAAAATTATTTAGATGTTCTCTTTTGCTATGTATGCTGGCTTACTAAATTACTGCTGTATTTATAAGATATGTTTGTATCACACACACATATATATATTTTGTTTTATAATGAATACTGAAAAACATAATGACAAGAAGCACACCTTCTGGCATATTCATTTTGGTTTGTAACAGAAGCTTGTTCTGGATCCATTCCCACAAGGCGAGTTGGAAAACTGCAACCATCACCCAAACTGCATAATAAAAAATATCAGATTAGAGAAACCAAGATGGCGGCATAGGTAAACACCGGAGACTGCTGCCGCAAACAACCACTTCAAAAATACAACTAAAAGACGGAACGGACATCACCCAGAACCACAGGAAGGCTGGCTGAGGAGAGATTCTTCAACTAGAAGGAAAGAGAACAGCATACTGAGGCTCAGAGGAGGCGCAGTGTGGAAAATACAAAGGTGTGGAGGTGCGCGCTCAAAGCCGGCTGGTGGCTGAGGGTGCGGTTGTCGTTTTCAATCAGGAGGGAGTCTCAGACTCTGAGCTCCAGATCCGGGCAAGTCTCTAGGGACTCAGACTCAAACGGGAGAAGCGGGATTGTCTGGCATCAGTTGGAACGTGAGGGCAGCTTTCTCTCCGAGGTTTGCAGCGGTTGCTGGGGTTCTGAGAAGCAGAGCCTCTGGGAACGGGACTGAGAGCAGCCATAATCGCTCCCTCTGCCTGCCCTGTTGATCCCATGTGACCCGCCCCGCCCAAGCCCTGCACAGAGCCATTTGCCAAATCGCCTCAGGCAAAGGCTAGATTAGCACCTCTCCAGAGGACAGAAGTTTTCCCGTGGCAGACACAGCTGATTCTCACAGCCAGTGGGCCTGGTGGTCAAATCCCTCTAGTATTAACTACAACAATCAAGGCTTAACTAGAACAAGACTGCGCACAAAGACCACAAGGGGGTGCACCAAGAAAGCATAAAAGATGCGGAGACAAAAAAACATGACAGAAATGGAGGATATAGAGCTAAAAAACGCAATTTTGAGGGCTTGCAATAATGTGCTAGAAGCTGCCAATAAACTTGATGAGAGCCTCACGAAATCTAATGAGACCCTCGATGTTGTGATAAAGAACCAACTAGAAATTAAGCATACACTGACTGAAATAAAGAATATTATACAGACACCCAACAGCAGACAGAGGAGCACAAGAATCAAGTCAAAGATTTGAAATGCGAAGAAGCAAAAAACACCCAACCGGAAAAGCAAAATGAAAAAAGAATCCGAAAATACGAAGATAGTGTAAGGAGCCTCTGGGACAATTTCAAGCGTACAAACATCAGAATTATAGGGGTGCCAGAAGATGAGAGACAGCAAGATATTGAAAACCTATTTGAAGAAATAATGACAGAAAACTTCCCCCACCTGGTGAAAGAAATGGACTTACAGGTCCAAGAAGCGCAGAGAACCCCAAACAAAAGGAATCCAAAGAGGACCACACCAAGACACATCATAATTAAAATGCCAAGAGCAAAAGACAAAGAGAGACTCTTAAAAGCAGCAAGAGAAAGAGACTCAATTACCTACAAGGGAATACCCATATGACTGTCAGCTGATTTCTCAACAGAAACTTTGCAGGCCAGAAGGGAATGGCAAGAAATATTCAAAGTGATGAATACCAAGAACCTACAACCAAGATTACTTTATCCAGCAAAGCTATCATTCAGAATTGAAGGTCAGATAAAGAGCTTCACAGATAAGGAAAAGCTAAAGGAGTTCATCACCACCAAACCAGTATTATACGAAATGTTGAATGGTATCCTTTAAGAAGAGGAAGAAGAAAAAGGTAAAGATACAAATTATGAACAACAAATATGCATCTATCAACAAGTGAATCTAAGAATCAAGTGAATAAATAATCTGATGTACAGAATGAACTGGTGATTATAATGAATCAGGGACATAGAAAGGGAATGGACTGACTATTCTTGGGGGGGAAAGGGGAATGGGAGATGCGGGAAGAGACTGGACAAAAATCGTGCACCTATGGATGAGGACAGTGGGTGGGGAGTGAGGGCGGAGGGTGGGGCGGGAACTGGGAGGGGGGGAGTTATGGGGGAAAAAAAAAAGAGAGGAACAAATGTAATCTGAACAATAAAGATTTAATTAAAAAAATAAAAATAAAAATAAAAATAAATAAAAAATAAAAAAATAAAAAATATCAGTAATATTTTAAATCATATTAAGTTAAATCAACGTTGTCAAGTTTAACTCCCATTTTTCAGAGACCTGGTATAAGGAAATAACTTGTCATTTCAAAGAAAATTTCCTAGTATTTCTAATTAAGAGAGTGATTAACCTCCACTAAAAAAAATGCAGCCTTTTTCTTTTATAATTTACATAGATTTAAAAAGAGGATCTTCCATAATATTGTATGCCAACTATACTTTATTTATTGAATGCCTATGATATTCCAGGTACTATTTTAAGTGCTAAGGATCTGGCAGTTAATGAGAAGGAAATCTCTGCCCTCAAAACGTTTACAATCTAAAAAATGCAGATATGCTTACTTTCACATTTTAAAAACATCAAAATTGTGTATAACAAGAACTTTCACTTCCATCCATGATGAATTAACTACAAAATCTGATCTTTCAGTCTTAAACAACCAGAAAACTGAATAGCATATACAATACTGTTTTCAAAACATCATAGAACTGTGCTTTGTGAAAGAAGAGAACTGACTGAGTTCCAGCCTTTGCCAGGCCAGGAGGGGACACAGAGCAAGGTAGTCTCACTGATCTGAGGTGACAGAGATAGGAATTTCTAAAGTTAAGGCAGCTTAAATCTATCAGATAGAGCTGAAGAAGAGGGAGAAATGCAGAAGCTGAAGCGCAAGAAACTGTATTGATGATAACTCCCTACAAAAAGAAAAAGAAAAAAACTGTCTGCCTCTTTAAAGGGAGACAAAATTTAAACACTCAGAATTCAAAATGTCACTCATCCAATAAAAAATTACTAGCGTGAAAAGTAGCAAGTAAATATATACACAAGAAAAAAGTCAATAAAAAAGAAGTTGAAACAAAGACTTTAAACTACAGGAAAAGTGAGGAATGAAAATGTAAGATATAGAAAGAACCAAATTGAACTTCTAGAGCTGAAAAATATCTGAAATGAAAAATTCACTGGATTAGCTTAACAGTTGAGTAAACATTACAGAAGATCATGAACTTACAAATACAGCAATAGGAACTATTCAATCTAAAGCAAAGAAAAAAGATAGGGGAGGGAAAGAGAGGGGCAGGAGAGCAATGGCCTGTGAGTCACAAACAATTTAACGTAGGTATATTTATCAAGTACCAGTATCTGAAAAGGTAGTGGGGGGAGGGTATGGGAAGAGGTAGAGCAGGCAGCAAAAACAACTGAAGACATATGATGAAAATTATTCAAATATGATGAATACTATAAAGTCAGATTTAAAAAGCCTAATGAATTCTAGAGAGAATAAACACAAAGAAAACCATCCCACCAAACATTATCATCAAACTGCCTAAAACCAGTGATAAAGATAAAATCTTCAAAGTAGCCAGAGGGAAATTTATAAACACTGCAATAAAGATAAGAGTGGGGCTCATTTTTTTGTTCCTAAGCCAGAAGATAATAGAACAACATTAAAAAAATTTTTTGAGACACACAGAGAGAGAGAAACATTGATCGGTTGTTTCACTTATTTATGTATTCATTGGTGATTCTTTTTCTTCTTCTTTTTTTTGGTTAATCCTCTACCTGAGAATATTTTTTCCATTGATTTTTTTGGGGGGGAGTGGAAGGTAGGGGGAGAGATACCAAGAGAGAAACATCTATGTGAGAGACACATCAATTGTTTGCCTCCCACACATGCCCAACCAGGGCCAAGAATCAAGCCTACAACCAAAGTGTGTGTCCTTGACCAGAATCGAACCCAGGACTCTCTAGTCCATGGCCAATGTTCTATCCACTGAGCCAAACTGGTTAGGGCCATTGGTTGACTCTTGTATGTGCCCTGACTGGGGATCAAACCCACAAAATTGGTTTATCGGGACAATGCTCTAACCAACTGAACCAACCAGGGCCATGGAGCCATATTTTTAAAGAAAAGAGAAAAACAAAACACCTTAATATTGAAATATCTGTTTAGAAAAAATAACCTTAAAAAAAAAGTCTGTTCCAACTACAGTGGAAAAACCTTGCAATACAGAAAACAAAATATAAAGTACACAGAAGAGATTGGCTCTTGAAAATATAGCAATAAGATTTACTCAATGACACACAGAAAAAAGACTACACAAAAAAAATGTACAGTGCATCAATAAGCTGTGGTTAGAACTTCTTCGAGTGGATAAATGTAATTGGAGTCCCTGCAGTAACGAGGAGAGGGGGATGTCAGAAGAAATAGTTGAAGAAAAAATAGTTGAAATATTTCCAAATCTGATAAAAGTTATAAAATCATAGAACTGGGAAGTTCAATCAATCCTAAGCCCAAGAACACAAAGAAAATTATACCAAGGGACAACAAAACCCAATTTCATGAAACTATTTACAAATAGAAAATCTTAAAAGCAGCTGGAGGAAAAAAAAGACACATTACATATTCATTAAAAAAAAGAATAGTGACTGCAAATTTCTCATCAGAAAAACCACAAGCCAGAAGGCAATGAAGCAAAATGTAGAATTCTATGCCAAGCAAAAATGTTTTTCAAAAACAAAGGCAAAATAAGTCATTTTCACACAAAAATAGGCAATACAGTTAAGGAAAATAAAAACCTACAACACTCACAAATATATCAGTTGAATATCAAATATTTTTCCCTCTTCTATAATGACTTTTGTATATAGATAGCCTAGGATGGCTATGAATTTGGAAGGAAAGGAAACTATATAACATCTCAAACATATATTCCCATTTACATTTGAGTAAAAATTACATTATGTGTTAGATCTTCTATGATTTAAGATAAAACAGAATATATAATCTGTGATAGAATTTTTGAAGATATGGCTAAAAATATCACCTCTGAATATTTCATCACCCTTATAAAAATGTCAAAATAATTATCCAATATTACTGAAAATCTACTAAAATGTGTTTAATATACCTTACTTTTAAAAAATATTTATTTACTTATTTGTTTACTTATTTAATAAGAGTTTATTTAAACCAAACTGGTGACATGCCAGGAAGCAAGATCTCAAAATGCTTCCTCTTTTTTAATATTCTTACTCTTGCAACTTCGCTCATTCATTATTTATATACTTTCTCTATTTCAACTTATTTTCATTTTGAAGGAAATACGTAGCAATTCTTATTTTTTATGAATCATCTTTTTCAATATTCCATTCAAATATATGCCCAAACTCTCCTTTACCCTAATAAAAAAAAAGAAAGAAAATACTTTATAGAATCAAGTTATTCTGGGTTTTCATTCTTAAGGCTAAGAATTATATATTGTAATCTCTGAACCTTAAGACATTTAACTGTAATTTTCATAATTTCTGAGACCTGCATTTTATAAATTACCTTGAAAATATTGGAAGTAGCCAGTATTTCTTTTCATCGCCAAAGACTTGTCTCCAATTTTTACTGTATCCGAGAGAGAAACCATTTCCATCAGGTCCATATGAAAATGTGGGTGCACTAAATGATTCTGTTATAGGTATACATAAAAAATGAGTTAATCTATTTAAAATTATAATAGGAATGAAAGTACCAATTTTCTTGTTTTATATCTTTGATATCAAGAGCCGGTTGGAGCATCGCACCAAAAGATGGCAGGTTCAATCCCTGGTCAAGGCGCATGCAGGAGGCAACCAATTAATGTTTCTCTCTCACATCAATGTTTCTCTCTTTCTCAACCTTCCTTTCTCTAAAAATCAATAAAATTTAAGAAAGAAAAAAAGGATTAAAGAAAATCTTAATAAAAAAGCTATAAATAGAATTTAAAATAAATAATGTATTCTATATAATAAAGAGCTAATATGCTAATTAGACCAAACAGCAGAATGACCATCTGGATGACATTCCAGAGGACCTTCTGGATGAAGCCGGGGGCTGTGAGGGCTGGCTGAGGCAGCTAGGGCTGCAAGGGCTGAGCCCCTTGCATGAATTTCGTGCATCGGGCCTCTAGTTTATAATAAAAAGATAAATTTCTGAAATGTATTTCAGAAGAAAATATCACCTCTGAATACTTCATCACCCTTATAAAAATGTCAAAATAATTACCTATTACTGAAAATCTGCTAAAATGTGTTTAATATATCTTACTTTTCTTTAAAAAAAAATATTTTATTGACTTTTTTACAGAGAGGAAGGGAGAGGGATAGAAAGTTAGAAACATCAATGAGAGAGAAGCATCGATCAGCTGCCTTCTGCACACCTCCTACTGGGGATGTGCCCGCAACCAAGGTACATGCCCTTGACAGGAATCGAACCTGGGACCTTTCAGTTTGCAGGCCAACGCTCTATCTACTGAGCCAAACCAGTTAGGGCTTACTTTTCTTTTTTAAAAATATTTATTTATTTGAGTTTATTTAAACCAAACTGGTGACATGCCAAGAAGCAACATCTCAAAATGCTCCCTCTTTTTTCTTTCTTTTTCTTTTTTGAAAAATATTTTTTATTGATTTTTTACAGAGAGGAAGGGAGAGGGATAGAGAGTTAGGAACATCGATGAGAGAGAAACATCGATCAGCTATGTCTTGCACACCCCCTACTGGGGATGTGCCCGCAACCAAGGTACATGCCCTTGACTGGAATCGAACCTGGGACCCTTCAGTCTGCAGGCTGACGCTCTATCCACTGAGCCAAACCGGTTAGGGATCCCTCTTTTTCCATATGCCTGGTCTTGCAACTTCTCTCATTCATTATTTATACATTTCCTACTATGTGCTTGATGGTACATTACTAGGTGTTTGGGATTCAAAGATAAATTAGATAAAATTTTTACCAAAGAACCCAAAGTCTAACAAAATTACAATGTGATACAGATATGTGTGTATTGAGGGTGTGGTAGAGGAGGGTTAAATATGGAGGAGGTGATACTTGAGAATAATCTTAAACAAGGAATAACAGAAAAGGAAGCAGATGGTTATTAAAGACTATTCTTTTTTTTAAAAAATGTTTTTATTGATTTTAGAGAGAGAGGAAGGGAGAGGGAGAGAGAAACACTGATCAGCTGCCTAACCCAGGCATGTGCTCTGACAGGGAATCAAACCTGCAACATTTTGGTGCATGGGGCCATGTTCAATCAACTGAGCCACCCAGCCAGGGCTAAAGACCATTCTTTTAAGCTTGGTTGTAAAGTGATATGGAGTGAGGTGTTAGAGATAGACCTAATTTTCACCAAATAAATGTATTTTTTGAAAATTTAAAAACAGACTGCATTTCAGCATGTTTTATAAGCTAAGAATAAGCCAGGGAGAGTTTGATTGGGAAAGGTTGATAATATAGAAAAGTAATGTAAAAAATTGATGGAAGACTATGCTAGAAGAAATGGGATTGGTTCTAGAAGAGTTCTAAAGATTAGCCTTAGATACTAGAAAAGACATATCTTATCCTCAGAAGTTAGAGGAAGGGTAACTGTGATGGGTTTGAAAGTAGAAATGATTGTGTGAGGTTATAAAGATAAGAATTTACTTGTGACAGCTTCTAATTCATCTATGAAGAGCTCACAAAATGGGTAAGAAATTAGGGAGAATGGTGAAAATCTGGAATAACTGTTGTAAGTAATAAAAGGTGATCAACCTGATCAGAAACACTACATTACTCCCAAATAGAGGTGAGGGCCTAAGTGAGGGCTGAGACTTTAAATCTGTAGTTGTAACAATCTGTATGGGAGTGAGATTGCCTTCACTGGCTTTCTACAACCCTGATTCACATGTAGATAAAATAGACAGCTGGAGTAACCCAGATCATGGATTAGCAAATGCATTATGGGAGAAAGCCTAGGGGCAGGTATAAAGTGAATGTACAGTCAAGAATTATTAAAATCAGCCCAGCCAGGTGTGGCTCAGTGGTTGAGCGTCGACCCAGGAACCAAGAGGTCGCCGGTTCGATTCCTGGTCGGCATATGCCCAGGTTGCAGGCTCGATCCCCAGTGGGGGGCATGCAGGAGGCAGCCAATCAATGATTCTCTCTCATCATTGATGTTTCTATCTCTCTTTCCCTCTCCCTTCCTCTCTGACATCAATAAAAATACATTAAAAAAAAGAATTATTAAAATCATTTACTATAGGACCTAGAATGGAAAAGACTGGAAAATGAAACAAGAAGAGAGAGAAACACTTGAAAGAAAAGTGCTGGAAAACAGAGGACTCAGTAATCTATAAAAGGAATTAAAAGTATAGACAAGAAAGAGCTAAAAGGACAAAGACTGTGGTTTAAAACTTCAGGGGCTCTTCAGTTCCAAGCAATGAAAAGGTTCAGTGTTTAGTTATGGAAATTACTGGCCATCAAATTTAAAGGGACTAGCCTGCCTGTTTGGGATGGTAGTAGTTTGACTACAGAAACTCTTACTGTGGGGGAATTATCTCACGGTATGTAGATGACTGTTATGAAGAAGGGTAGAGGTGATTCTCCAAAGGACAGAATAAGATACCTTCAAAGGACAGAAAAACAACAATTTGGAAGAAGCAGTGGAGAACCAGCTAACATCCAAGGGTAGGGTTGTGGAGGGTGAGGCTATAAGGGAATGCTGTGCTAGGGTAATCCTATAGAATAAAAGGCTAATATGCAAATTGACCATCATGCCCTTGCACAAGATGGCCGCCCCCATGTGGTCACAAGATGGCCAGCAGGGGAGGGCAGTTGTGGGCGATCAGGCCAGCAGGGGAGGGCAATTGGGGGTGACCAGGCCTGCAGGGGAGGGCAGTTAGGGGCAACCAGGCCTGCAGGGGAGGGCAGTTAGGGGTGACCAGACCAGCAGGGGAGGGCAACTGGGGGCAACCAGGCTGGCAGGGGAGGGCAGTTAGGGGCAACCAGGCCGGCAGGGGAGGGCAGTTAGGGGCAACCAGGCCGGCAGGGGAGGGCAGTTAGGGGCGACCGGGCAGGCAAGGGAAGGCAATTGGGGGCGACCAGGCTGGCAGGGGAGGGCAGTTAGGGGCAACCAGGCCAGGCCAGCAGGAGAGGGCAATTGGGGGCAACCAGGCCAGCAGGGGAGGGCAGTTAGGGGCGACCAGGCCGGCAGGGGAGGGCAGCTGGGGGCAATCAGGCTGGCAGGGGAGCAGTTAGGCATCGATCAGGCTGGCAAGGGAGTGGTTAGGGGGTGATCAGGCTGGCAGGCAGAAGCGGTTAGGGGCAATCAGGCAGGTAGGCAGGCGAGCGGTTGGGAGCCAGCAGTCCAGGATTGTGAGAGGGATGTCTGACTGCCGGCTCCCACAGGGATCGGGCCTAAACCAGCAGTCAGACATCCCCCAAGGGGTCCCAGATTGGAGAGGGTGCAGGCTGGGCTGAGGGACACCCCCCCCCCCTTACACAAAATTCGTGCACTGGGCCTCTAGTTTTTTATAAAGTGCAAGTTAAAATACCTTGATAGTCTGTAAAATTAATTCAGTGGTTTGTAACCACAGAATTACTTAAGGAACTAGAACAGAAAATATTGACATCACTGCATATAGTAAAGTTAAATAATATTTTGTGAAATTTTCGCTTATTTACATAAATTTATACATATGTGTGCATGCACTAAGTTATAGAAAATGATGCATTTCTTACTGTAGTCACTGGCCAAAAAAAGCTTGAAAAAGTCTGTTTGAAGGGATCAACAAGCTTCACAGAAATCACTGGCCTCTCAAATACCCACGCAGGTTTGATGGGAAATTAATGACCTGGGCTGGGTGGGAACTGTGGCAAATTACTGTTTGCAACCCATTTAAAGCAGTCTGTTACTACTTAGCTGTGAATAAATGATGCCGGATGAAAAAAAGAGGACCACAATATCATATTTATCAGTTTCGAAAGAAGAAATCTACTTTTCTATGTAAAATCTCTAAGTTTTTAGCTGTTGTGGAAGGTTTTAGCTGTTGTGGCTAGATTCTGCATGTAGGATGCACTTTGTATTTCTCATTAAAGGGAAGAAAATGGCAGGAAATTCTATGAAGAGGGTAACAAATTAATTAATGGGTATAAGGAAGTTTATTTACATGGATGAAAGCACGACAGACTGAAGTGCTCAAAAGTGAAGAGTGAGTTGAGGTAGGAATGGCACAGAAATCCTTTACTCTGGAAGCACGTCATTCCTTACATGACATAGTTGGGCACAAGTTTAAAATGATCCATAAATGAAAGTATCTAAAAGGCTTCCTAAAATGTCTTCATCTTTCTCTATTAAAATCTATCCCCTTCTAATTTAGCTAGCAGACACATGGCGTAATAGCAGGGAAGGCTTTAATTTTCTTTTTTTAAATGTTTTTATTGATTTTAGAGAGAGGAAGGGAGAGAGAGAGAGAGAGAGAGAGAGAGAGAGAGAGAGAGAAACATTAAAGATGAGAGAGAATCATTAATCAGTGGCCGCCTGCACACCCACTACTGGGGATCAAGCCTGAAGCCTGAACCCAGACATGTGCCCCTGACTGGGAATCGAACCCTGACCTCCTGGTTCATAGGCTGACGCTCAACCACTGAGCAACACTGGCTAGGCGAAGGCTTTAA